TTTTTTTTTTTGTCTACCAGAGCTTGATGGCAAGTTCTAGATTGCACCCAGTGCTGATGTGAATTGCTTATACAATATTCGAGCTGCTCTGTTGGGAAAACAAAGCATACCAAAAAGCCGTGATTATATCAGTCCTGAGAATCCTGGAGAATAAAGTCWAAGTAAATACCAATTTATAGATATTTAATAACCCATTATTATGTAAATAAGTTAAGAATTTTTCTGTTCCCCTAAGACAAAGCTATTACTCTGTGGCCAAACAGATGAGTCACTTCCATCAATGCAATTACGAATCATAGAARATACTTTTTGTGCAATTTACTGGAAAGAAAATAAATATGTTAATCAGCTGAGGGATATAATAGTTTGCATCCAGACCTCTGCTCATCCAGCATCACCTATTCAGTGGAGGAAAGATGACGCTGACATCCACTGACTTCAAAGAGTTTTGCTTTGTATGGACTTGAGGAGGTAAGAGCACCACATGAGAAAGTAAAATTTAACTGTCAGCTGGGAAATTAGATTATCTTTTTTGAGASAAGCACCATCAGAAGTATATGTAARYATCTGCCAACTCAMACATCTTTACTTCTGTTTGCTTTTGCAGAAAAGAACTCATCCTTTTCTATTTCCTCTGRTATAAACATTGCCAGAGGCTTAAAAAGCCAAACTGCTGCCACCCTTCCTACCCAACATAACAGTTTACTGGACCAAGTCCTTCATCTGTGTTTCCTTCTGGAAAGAAAGTGCCAAAGTGTGATTTCTATTTGTTTTTCTGTGAGGCTCTAGATTACACATTATTTTGAAACACGTGTGTGTGTGTGTGTGTGTGTGTGTGTGTGTGTGTGTGTGTGTGTTTGTGTGTTCTGTTTTTTTAAGCATATACTTCTGGCTGTAAATCTCCTTTTATCTCTGCCAGACCTCTGGCCCCCGTTTGATGCTCTACACCAGCAGGCTGTTGTGCAACCAGCAGCACAAGCTCCTGCTGCCCCCTCTCCCTGCATTCCTACTTATTTGATGTGTTCTGGCAATKGTAGCTGCTGGTGATCCACACTGGCATAGCAGAGGCAGCAGCTGTGCCAAGTGTGGCAGCCAGCAGGTTTCAGTGATGCCAGAGGAATGGTTTACAGGAAACATTCATTTGAATGGGAGATGCAGTTCCTACTTTGAGTRTGAAAAATATCAGGGTTTTCTGAGGATGTTTGGCTCGTGCTTTTTGCAAGCTGCTTGTAACTTAGAATAGTARGATACTCAAGCAAGGTTAAACTCTTTAAGGAATTAAAAAAGGGCCGAGACAACAGCAATTAAAAAAAAATATGACTATTCCACATGATGATGAATAGAGGTGATAATTTGGGATGGCTAACTGAGTATACAAATGCACTGTGATGGGTCTGACCTTTTCTGCTGTAAAAAGACAAATCTTTTTCCTTGTGTGTGTGTCTGTGCACCAGTCAGAACGGACAGTGCCTGGGCTCCTTCTGGTGCTGGGGTAAAAGTGCAGCCACATGATTCATGCAAATCATTTCCCCAGAAGGTAAGATTGGTGATAATCAAGAGCRGTGCCTTACMTTTCCAAGCRGGACATTTGTAGCATTTGGGGAAATTATTTTTTTGAACCTCTGATTCACTAGTTAYAAATCTCAGCCAGAAAGATGTAATCAACATCTGCGACCAACAACCTTTAAAGCAGCAGATTTTACAGCACCAATCTGCATTTGCAATGGTTCAGGTGCAACTCTGCRACCCCAATTCTGCAAATRTGAAARWAWGAGTGAAGGGTTCCTTTACTGACTSRGAGAAGGTGAAGGAAATATGACCTGGGATCACGAAGCAAAGCAAAATATTTGACATGTRGGGCCTAATAACATCATGCTGGGAGKCAGAGTTTCTTTTATTGGTATTACCTGCACAGGCAGTGCAAGATGAGAGGGAAAAGAGAACAAAATTGGACACTTCTGAGAGTGCCATAAGTGGGCCGCTTGTGCCAGGCACAGGGTGCTCCACAAGGGACAGACTTATACAGACAAACTTAAACATGCATGAGGTAACTTTAGCTATTCTGTCTTCGATGCAGTAAATAGTGCAGGTTTCTTTGCACTTGTGAGGCGACCATGATGAAGAAATACACCTGCAGCAGGAAGTGTGCATTTATATAAATAAACTGAGCTTTGATTGATACATGTATATATAYATGGTAGATATACATATATATGGTTTTTGAAACACACTGCAGGATCAGGAAACCAGGAGACAACTAAAATAAATACATTCTTTTTTAATGAAGCACTGCTGGATGTTTCTCTCTGCTTTCAAATGACCTGCTGTGTGATGTGTGAACATTTGGCAACAGGAATACCTTCATGTATGCCTGACAGTACTGCAGTGAAGCACCTGTGCACATCTGTCCAGCCTGGGGGCTGCTGCCCGGGGATCCCACTGGCCATGCTGGCCAGTGCACAGGGGTCAGGCCACCACTCTGGAGCACCTGGACGGGAGGAGGCTGCTGGGGTGACAGATGGGGACAGCAGACACAGTGGAGCAGCTGTTCCCTCGCTGGCAGGACAGCGGTGAACTGGGGCCCTCCTGGACAGGTCACAATCACAGAACAGTCAGGCTGGAAGGGACCACCGTGGGTCACCAGGTCCAGCCTCCCTGATCCAGCAATCACCCCAGAGCACATGGCATGGGATTGTGTCCAGATGGCTCTGGAATATCTCCACACCCTGTCTGGACAATCTATCTGTTACAGTGCTCAGTCACTGCACAGAGATGATCTTCCTCATGTTCAGCTGGAACTTCCTGGGCATCAGCTCCTGCCCTCTGCCTCTTGTCCTGTTGCCTGGCATCAACGGAGCAGAGCCTGGATCCATCCTCTTGGCAGCCTTCTTTAGATACTCATACACATGAATGAGGTTCCCTCTCAGTTGTCTCCTCTGGAGGCTGAACAGCCCAGCTCCGTCTRCCTTTCCTCGTCAGGGAAGATGCTGCAGCCCCTTCACCTTCGTAGCCTCCGCTGGACCCGCTCCAGGAGCTCCACATCTCTCTTGTCCCCATAGCCCAGACCCGGACAGAGCACCCCAGATGAGCCCCACCAGGTCTAAACAGAGGCACAAGATCACCTCCCAGACCTGCTGGCCCCGCTCTTCCTAAAGCACAGGGTTCCGTCCGCAGGCTCCTCCTCGCAGCGGGCGGGGCCGAGGCCGCCGGGTCCCGGCGCGCAGCTCCGGCGGCGGGCGGCGATCCGCAGCCGCGCCCGGCCCGGCCGCTCGGCAGGCAGGCAGGAAGAGAAGGAGAAGGAGGAGGAGAAGGAGGAAGGAGGGAGCAGCGACGCCGGGAGCAGCGGCCCAGGGTAGGCTGTGCACCTGCCGAGCCCGCGGCGGGGGCGGAGCGGGGGCGGCTCCTCGGCCGCGGGGCCGCTCGGGAGCAGCGGCCGGGCTGGGCCGGGCCGGCCGGGAGTGCCGGGTAGCGGCGGGGTTCGGGGGCTTCGCCGCCTTTTGTCTCCGTTTCTGCCGTTTATTTTTCGCTGCCCGGAGCCCTCCATGCTGCTGGACGTAGAGGCGCCCCTCGGTTTCGGGGTGGCACCGCAGGTTGGTGCCCGGGGCTGTCGGCGGAGCCAAGACGGAGCCCTGCCGTGCCCGACACCTGTGCTGGCAGCGGGTCCCGGGGAAAGGCGGTGTCTGTCCGCTTCCTCCCTGTGGGCTCCCGCTGCCCTTGACCTTTGGGATGGCTGGAGCCGCCCTGGTCGGTCCTTCGGGTCCCAGAGCGCCAGCTCACCGTGTGCTCACAGGGGCWGTGTCCTCTGTGGCTAAGCCACGATCATCCCTTTCCCCCCCCGTGTTAAATAGAAGGAACACGGCTGTTTAAGKCCCCAGAGTGTTGGATTTGGCAGGTTGTGGCTCAGGTGCAGAGCTGCCGGGTATTAAGCACGATATGCATGTGATCCGCGTGTGTGCGAAGGCGTTTTGAGCCCTTAAGGACACCCCGGGGAGGGTTTGGTTTCCCGGTGTCTGCAGACACGGAATTAATCTCAATCCCGGGGGAGCTGYGCTGTGGCCGGGCAGGACCTTCCCTTTGCCTCTCCAGCACAGCTGAGCCAGGGTTTGCCGTGTTTGCAGGGGGAAAAACCACTCACCAGTGCCTGTTTTCCTGAAATAGGGAGGAAGGTATGCTTCAGCCACTGCAGCGAAGGAGCAATACCAAGTCTGAAAGGTAAATACGGTTTCCGAGTAAATACCAGAATATCGCTTTGTGTGTCACAGTACAGCAAGGAGGAAGTGGAGGGTTGGTTTCTCTGTCGGCAGAAATAGTTGGTGAAAATGAAAGAACATAAAACCAGTTTGAGTGATTTAATGTGACTTTGTCCTTGCACTTCATCAGTAAATCTGAAACATAAAAAATGTATTGATAACATACCACTTATGTGTTGTAGCCTATTAATGTGATTTCTGAAGTATAGCTTGGTTTTTAAAATCTGGTTTAATCTGCAGTAGAATGTGATCTTTACAACCTGTTACCACAAGTTTTATTTCCACAAATTTCTTTGCTATGTGGAGGACATTCTTTATGTTTAAAAAAGCACATTAATGTCAGAGGAACTTATGGATATGGGGAGATAGAGATAAGTTATTGACAAGTAAATGAGAACTCAGGTGTTTCTGCCTGCAGTGCATAAAATAAAACCAACACCTGTCAGACAGAGTTAGGCTGCACTTCTCTCTGTGCTGCWGATAGTCCAGTCATTTTTGCTGGGAAATGACTGGGATCCTTGTGATGGGATTTACAGCACGGATCCTCTGTTAGGAGGTGCCTTATGATCTGTGCAGCAGGTGCACAGATGCACAACCTTGCGTGACCACTGAGTCCTGAAACCTTTTATAAGATGTGTGATGTCTTTACTTGCATGCCCTAAAGCTGTTAAAAATTAACGTGTTAAACAATTGCTTTGCTATAATGATAATAGCCCTGTCCCATTATATTGTAGGAGAACCATTTAAGGAGGTGTTTGACCTCAGGTGTTTATTCTTTGCTGGCTTCTCAGGTGTTTTTTCCCAGTAGGTATTTCTGTGTGGTCAGTGAAACAATAGTTTTGGTGTTTGGGATAGCTGTCAGAGAGGAGAAATGGGGTTTGGGATCACCCTGAAATGTATCTGTTACTGCTGAAAGAAAAATTCACTCCTGCTGTGAGCTACTTGTTCTCCTTACCTGTTTTCTCCCACTTGCAGCTATCAGTAGCTCATTTCAACCAAACACAGAGAAATTGTTGGTTTGAAAGAGAAATTTTGAAATCTGACCTAACTAGCCAGCTGTGGCTGTACGAGGCAGTCCCACCTGTAGCCCCTGTCTTTGTGCTCCTGCTGCCTTGGATTCATCCTGCGTGGCAGTTTTGTGGCCACTGACCAAGTTAATATTCTTAATATTGGATCAACTGTATTTTAGGGCAGGATTTCTGATGGCTCAGCCACCTGAACCATGGCTGTAGGGCTACAAGGTGTGACAGAAGGAGGCAGGGAACTGKATCTGGAGGTGGGACAGGGGAGGARGGMYAGGGTTGCACTTTCYCTAACCTCTGCAACCTCAGAGAGGAGGTAGGAAACGCATGCTGGGTGGGAATGATTATGGGGTTTGATTAATTGCACAGTCTGATTCAGGGCCAGGGAGGGGGTGGAACACGCTAAACGAGATTAGCAAGTCAATTCACTTTTAGGGGAGGGAGGTGACAAGMTGAACCAGGACACTGTGGAAAAAATAAAGGTATGACAAAAATGTGTTAGCRTAAAGGAGCAGAGCCTCGATATTTTGGTGGGATATTGTGTTATGTAAAGAGGGGKTAGTGTTCCTCCATTCCTAGGGAGAGAGCCTATGTGGGTGGTGAGGCTTGCAAGTTGACAGCTTGGACATGGCAGGTCCTGTTTGTTGTCACTCACCTGTCTGAGGATGAGCAGTTTTGATTTCTGGAGTAAGATGGGGCAATGAAKATGAGAGGAGAGAATCTCACACCTTTGCCTGCCCTGGGGCAGCCCCTGAAATTCTCAGGTGCTCACCAACTTATGGGTTTGGCAGTCATGCATTCTTGCTTTGGTTCAGCTCCCATTTTTATTTTACCAGGAGAGCTGACCCWGAATCCTACCAGCTTCCCCTCAGGAGCATGGTTTGTGCTGACATTACACAGGGCTGCCAGGAGTGTGGTGGGGCTGTGGCAGACCCTGCAGTGTCCCCTGGCACCTGGGGTAGCTCAGTTTGCACTGTGAGTTGCGGTCACGCCTTTTGCCAGCAGCTCCTTTTGCCATCTGACTCAGCAGCTGCCTGAGCTGCTGCCAGGTAACAGTGCAGCCAGTTCCTGTTRCACTACCTACAATAAAATGTGGGGKTTTTTATTGYTGTGGGGCTGCAGCCCACGTTGGAAAAAACAGGAGGAACTTTGTGAAACTTTAAACCAAACTGCCGTGGTCTCGCTCTTCCCCACATGTTATGGACACATGTGATCCTGCCTTCTCTCTTGTGCTAGTGTAGGGAGCTCAAGGAGTGGAAAAAAAAGTGTTTTTTCCTTCTCCAGTATTTTCTGATGATGTGGAGCTTTGTGCAGTACTGATAGYGGGTAAGGGAAATGGGCTGGAAGAGGGAGTGCTGGTCATGCCTTGCTGGCAGCATTGTTCAGCATTGTTCAGCAGCACCCACTCAAGCTGGGGGAGTCTCTTATTCCAGGCTGGAAACACTACAGCCATTTTTGAACAAATTGCAAGCTCATGAATGTTTCTGATGTGCTCAAACAGATCTTTGTGTGCTGGGGAATTGCCTATTTGTAGTCTTYCTGAGACAAAAGCAGAGTGTTTTGATGTAAGCTGGCTTTGCATCAAGTTCTGAGTGCATCTTTCTTTTGTGTCTCCACTGCTTTGTACTATGCTGAGCTCTCAAAATGCATTATAAATAATAAAAATCAGAGAAGGCTGCAATTTATATTGGCTTAAAATTCTCCACTGCATTTTTGATGTGAAGGTTAGTGATGTTAATTACTTGCCTCTGAAATAGATAATTGCTGTTTCAAATGTTATGGTTAGGAAATATCCCAATAACTTGACCTGACTATTTACTTACCAACTTCTCTTGTTTGAAGATCAGCAGTAAACAAAGGCAGAGTGAAGAATTTGCCACGTCGTGACTGAAGGTAGAAGAAAAAAAAAAAAAAAAAACCATAGGGAGATCAGCTCAGCAGCAGATATTCCACATTTGTGGAATCCAGAGGCTTTGTGGGAGATCTTTGTTGTCCGTTCAGAAGAACAGAAAAAGCTGTCACACGTCCATAATTGTGTCACCTAAAATCTGGTACCAGCCRTAGTGTAGATGGCTCAGCTTCCTCCTGGGATTCGTTTCATCACTTCATTTTCACGAGATCAGTGGTAAGTCTGGAAGTGTTGGTGGTGATCCCTGCTGTGGGCAGCGTGAGTTTGTATCTGGGGAAGATCAGGCTGTTGCCTCACTCTTAATTTTGCTTGTTCATTCCTTAGTATGTATACAGGAAGAAAATATAGTCAGTTGTATAATAAATAAATGTTGCTGACATTTAAAAAGTGAGGTATTTTGTAGGGAAACCCAGACAAACATTTGCTAGTGATGTGTGTTAGAGAATAAAACCTTTTGTCCTTTTCTTTGCAAGGTAGGTATTTGAAAGAATAAATTGCATTTTCAAGCTCCTAGGTGGGAGGAGTGCTCAAGATTAGCTTTCTTTTCTTAGCCAGAAATTTATTTTCTCCCCAGTAATTTCATGTGTGATACAGACTTGTACAATTAGAATTTTAGTCCTTGCTACTGCAATATTATTTTTTTAAAGAAATGCAAAGCCCCCTAGCAAAACCAAATGAAAATCAAATCCTCTTTGCTTTAGAAAAACAAATCCTGGAAGTTTTATGGYATCAGTTCATGGGCTTTCTGAGATAGAATACTGAGTCAATTGTGTGTGAATAACAAAAAAATAACAATTTGAAAGACCAAGCACTTTCCATTTGAGCAATTTTATCACGTGTTTTCTCTAGAAGAGCAGCAGGAACTAAGTAATTTCAGTTTTATCCCTTGTAAGGATGTTTCAGTTATGAGGGTGAATAACTCTGTTTGTGGGATGACTCTTKTTAATGTCACTATGAATATGCCAGAACTATAAAACAAGAGCCTTATTATGTAAAAGTTCATAAGGKAAAAATTGATAGAAAAAGGTTAATTAAAAATGAGGGACTACAGCAGGCAATGTGATATCAGATATTTGTATGTATATATTGTACTTGCATTTACTGTCACTTGAGATCAAGGCTAGAAGGAGCCTGTAGGCACATTTGGACTCTGGGTATTTTTWAAAAAACCCACAGAATTCTTTCCTTAAACAATTGAAATTGCAGATGGAGAATAGAAAAGATCAGATTATTGTTTTAATTATTGCAGTGAGTTCTGTAGAGAGGGTCCCAAGGATGCCAGCAAGGCACAAAGGAGAATTCCTTCCCARTCCCAAAGCTGCTCRRTTCTGTTCATGTTCTCCAGTGTCAATCCCACTGTTCACCTCTATAAATGACTGGTTTCTGTTGTTAGAGGGAGGCCAAAGTAAGGTGATTCTAAAAGCAGTAAGAAAAGAAGGAATTTTCCAAACTGACCATTGAGAGAGCCATCACTTAAGTCCTAGAAATACCACAAAACCCAAAGAAGCAGGGAGGTGTGGAATCTGATTATCAGCACGTTTAATGTTGAGATGATATTTAACAGCCCCCAAAGGAGGGTTGCAAACAAGGCAGGTCAGMTCAGGGCACTGCCACCTTGTCCTGCCTGTTCCCCTGTTCCACCAGGCTCCCTCCCAAAGCCACATCAGAGCAGGTGGAAAGCAGCATAACTGCAAGGGAAGGTGGTTCTTCAGGYTTTTGCAGAACACAAAAAAAATTGTTTTCCAGTATTCCAATATTATCAATTACTTGCATAATGTTTTTGTGTGATTTCATACCAAAACAAAGCCTAAATAAAATAATTTTCTTTTTTTTTWTRTATTGTAGGTAYAGAGCTTTCATTTTCTYTCTCACTTTCCTGCTATATGCCAGCTTCCATCTGTCAAGGAAACCAATTAGTATAGTGAAGGTAAGAGAGGTTGTGTCCTTGTTTAAACATCCTCCTKCTCCCTTCAAACACGGAAATCGCTGCCTTTTTCAGTATTTTCTGCTGTGAAAGGCAGGGTTAAACTTTAACTTGAAATGCCTTCAAGATGAAATATTGATAAAGCTGGTACACAGTGATATTTGCTTGATAAACTTAGKGAGACCACACCTAGAATATTGGGTGTAAGTTTGGGTTTTGGGCTCAAAACACAAAACACCTGTGCCTACACTTGATGTGAATTAATCTAATTAGAGATAGTGGAGAGGTTTCCAGTCTTATGTATGAGAAAAGTTGCTCATAACTGATGAGCTGAACATTCCACTGGCATTTCCAAGAGTGTTCCCAGTACTGCTGAGCATCAGTCATCATTGTCTGTACCTTTGTGACTGTTCCCAATGAAGCTGATGGCACAAATTCTCTAATTCTGGGTTTGACAGTTCAGTCTTCAGTGTTTATAACCTGCCAAACACAAATCAAATCCCCCAGTGCTGTATTGTGTGAAACTGATGAGTAACAGTRGGCAAAATACTTGATGTTACTGCAGAATTTCAAAGTTGTTCACTGTCAGAAACACCAGATTACTGCAGAATGCTTTTTCTAACCATGTAATTACTCTTTCATGTGATGGTGGTTTCACCCAGCAAAATGCCAARCAATTAATAATGGCCAACATTTTTYAYTGATTTTGGTGGGCTTGACGCAGGTTCATATAAATCTAGAAYTGTAAAATTTSTTGTTGTAGGGGAATTACCAGTCCCCAGTTCACAGGTGAATTTTCTATTTTCAAATGTCCCTTCTGTTTCAGGGAGAGCTGCATAAGCATTGTGCTGCTTCACCTGAAGTTGAGCAGGACTCTTACAAAGAATATGCTGCACAGATCCAGCCTGTCAAAAAGCCATTTAATGCCTCTCAGTGTGGTTGGGAGCCATTTGGTAAGGCTTGGTGGTTTTTTTGGTTTTTCTTTCCCAATAATGAGCTGATGCTCGTAATTAGATTATTTGTTTCYAGCTATTTCTTCCTATGTGGGGGATATGCATGGAAGGGGTGTWTTGTTTGTCGTGTTCTCACTGATTTCTCCACAGAAAATGAAGTTGTGACTTACCTTATGATGTCTTTGCTGCTTGAAGTCACTTAAACAAGTGATACTGTTTTACTTATTATAGCTGGGAGATGGTTTCAGTAGATCAATTTTCAGTCAGAAAATGGGATTTGTCTTTAGCATGTCTATTAAAGAAAAAAAGGCTGAAGAATAAAATCTATCATTTCCTGCWTGTTTAATTCAAGGTCCAGCAATCTTTTAAGTGAAATTACTTGGTGCTTATCTAAATTGGAACTTTTCAGAGTCCTTATCTGTGTGAAAGAGTTTTTTTCTCCTCCATTATAATGAAGAAAAAGGGAAGACTTTATTGCAGGAGAGACTTGACAGCTTACTGGATAGCATAATGGACCTGGCCTTTCACTTGAATAGAAAAAAAATATTTGCCTACTGAACAATTAAATTTTAATGTGGTCGTATTTGACTTTAAATGARAATTTGAATCATTCCTTGACACTTTTATTGCTACCAGGAACATCAGTGAAGCAGATTAGTCCCTTCTGTCACTGTGCCAGTCCACCCCAGTCTGTATAGCCATACATTCTAATTAGTCTTTAATTAGCAATTTAAAAAAAGTCCTGTTCTCTTCAAAGATAATTAAAGATCTGAGCTCTGGGTTTTCTGTGGACAAAATCCAGTGTGCTGACTGCYTGCTGCAGGGTCTGCTGAAAATATTTAATCCCCCCCAGGTTTCCAAATGCATTGGGTGGGAATCAGTTAACCCTGGGGAGTATTTCTTCTCCCTGGAACAAGGTGGGCGTTGAGTCTGTTTGTCTAAACATTGACTTTTTTAATGGAGACTTCTGAGCCCAAATGTCCTCCTTTTTCCATGAGCATTATTGCMAAGCTGCCCCTTTGGAATGGCACTCTGGACTTGTTCTTTCAGCTGTTTTTCTGGCAGAGCTTGGAGTGACTCTGAAGAAAGGAATCTGCTTTAGTATCTGTGGCTTCATGCCCAAAGGCAATGGCAATTGTGGCAATTTACTGCAAATAAATACACAAACTAACTGTCTTGGGGTGAGCTCAGCTCTCCTGAGAGTTGACTTGGTGTTTCCACCTGGGTGGAGCCCCTCCTGCTCCCTCCATCCTGTCTGCAGTTCCCTTTTAGGTGTGATTATGGTTGTTTGCTCTACAGGGCAGAGCTCTTGAGTGGTTTTTTTTTAACCAAAACTTCTCTGTGCCTTGTGAAAAGTTGGAAAATAAAATGCAAAAGGCTTTACCCTTAAAAAAAAACATACTAAGCTAATTCCTTAAAAGTCTCTATGATGATGGAATTTTTTTAGCCATTTTTAATCTTAGGACCTCACACTTTTGTAACTCTTTCCACTTTTAATCAAGTCTGTTAAATTGGATTTTGGATTTTCTTTTGCCTCAGGCTGTATAAGAAAAGGGCACMTTGCTAATAATTGAAGTTTCTTCTCTTCCAAAATGCTGTTTGGAATAAGGTAGAGTTTAGGATGGACCTACCAGTTATTTCCTAATATGTTAGAGGCAGAAGAGCAGTTGTTTTTGTTAAAGAAAACATTTGCAAAAATGTTTGCTTAAGTCTGAAGGTGCCAATTGAAAATTAAATGTCAGTGCACATTCATTARCATTTTTCTTGTTATGTGTACAAATGGTTGGGAAGTAATTAGTACATTTAAACTGATAATTTGTTTTGAAAATTATTCTTAGATAAGAGCAACTACAAACAGTTACTGGGAGCGCTGGATTACTCATTTTTGTGTGCATATGCAGTTGGAATGTATTTAAGGTAAAACCTTGCTCTCTTTACTATTTATTTATGAAGCTGTGACTCCTGAGTTATTGTGCTTTTCTACTGCAGAGTTTCTGATGGAGAGTGAGAAATTGATTGCTAAGGGGGAAAAAAARCCCCACATMATTCTAAGTCCCAGTGGTATCAATYGCTGTTGATACATAGGAAGCTTTTTACCTCTACCCATCTTAACTGCCTTGTGCAGGAATATTTTCCAGGTCTAAACCTAACCTATCTTTTTTTCATCTGGAATATAAAGGAATAAGCAGTGGAATGTACGTCCTCAAACTTAATCAGTCTCCAAATTGCACTGACTGCTTAAAATGATTGTCCTGGCTTTCTTTAGAGTCAAAGAATGGAAGCAGACACCTCCTAAAAATAATACCAAACCCATCCTGAAGTGTTCAGTATTAGTTGCTGTTTGGAGATGCTTCTTTTTATTGACTAAACCCTGAACATTGATGACTCGAGTCATTAGAAAGGGAGACAAGTCTCGCTTCAAACGCCTGGAGACACATAATTTGGAAAATGACTGTGTAAGTGAATGACTTTGAAAGTGCTCCAGATGAGTATCTCCCTGAAAGATGGCTGTGCAGATGTCAGAACTTAGCAATTAATGAACTTGAAATGGTTTTTTGGGTTTTTGTCCCCCTGTCAAGTGCTAAAAATTGCTCCTCTGCTGCTACAAAGGCAACCAGCACTTACCAGTACAGTTTCTCCTCAACCAGAATTAAACAACACAAAATATTCTTTCATTTGTGATGACTTTWGGGGTATGATCCCATTTTTAATTCRTGCTTTTCTCTTTATTTCCTTCCCTGCTCCAAGTGGACTCATAGGAGARCGGCTGCCCATCCGGTACTATCTGACAGGGGGGATGCTCGCCAGTGGACTCTTCACTGCAATGTTTGGATTGGGTTATTTCTATAATGTGCACAATCTGTGGTTTTACATAATTGCCCAGGTAGGCACAACGTTAATTTAGACACTCAGAGTTCCCGTGGTGCTGTTTAGGGTAATATTGGGGATTTTTCACTTGTGCAGAGTGATGAGTGATTGGGTGGGAGGGTGTAAATGCTGGAATATGTTGTTGGTGACAGGCAGAAGTGATAGAGTGGATACCCCCAGGCTTTATTTTTGATTTTTTTTTTAGTGAAAGCAATCTTTGAAAGCAAATTAATGTCTTTCAGTCTGTGTCAAATCAGTGATCAAATCTTTGCAAGCTTAAATGTGAGTTTGACAGATGTAAACACACTTGTTTTAAGTCTGCCAAAACCTGAGTGACACATCCTGGCTTTCTCTGCAGGAAAAATCCATTTACACTGCTAATGATGAACAGTCTCCCACACTGGTGGGGCTGGGAGCAGGCAGCTTATGTATCGAGATTCACTGTGTGAGATTTTTCAGAGCTCTGATCAGGTGTCACAAGAATTTTTACCATTGGCCTGAAATGGAATTTAGGTCAGGACCAGGGTAGGGTTGGCCCTGGGACTGTTTTGAACTGATCTGCACTGCTGCTTTCTGTGCATTGTTGCAGTAACACTCTCACCTCTGGCACATCTGCATGGCACTGACTAACCTTGTCACCAGTTAATCTGTGTCMCCCTGCCACTGCCCCAAGCCCTCTGGGATCAGCTGTTTGTCCAGAGCTGGCCCCTTTAGGGTTGAGCTGTCTCTGYCCTGTGGGGTGTGGTCAGTGAGCCCTGTCATTCCAAGGGTGCTCTCATACCACCAGCCCTGTTGGTTTTTTTTTTTGGTAGAGTGAAGTTGAATTTTGTGGCATGTTCAAATGCTGATGTTACATGTGAGGTCTTGCATTGTGATATTTGTGTCATGGTGCAACTGTAGAGAGAGAGCCTTTTAGGAGTTGAGATGAGTTAAAGTTTTGTGCAGTGTGGAGGCTGAAATAGTTCTTACTTCACCCTGWATATATTAAGTTCCTCCTCTCAGTTTATTTACAGGTGTCTGTTAAGCATTTTAAAGCTACTCAGTCTCCCCTAAAGTTGTCTCTTTTTTCTGCTTTATTTGATTGCAAACATGCTTTGCCATATGCTCAAGCTGAGATAAGTGTTATGCTGCTGCTTGGGTGGGGGAACTCACTTCTCTGTTCAGCTCAGAGCAAAGTGATTTTTAGTAAGCATGTGACTGAATTACAGTATTCTGTGATTTAAATCATCAACTAATTATAGAGATGTAGGTAGAGGGAAGAATCTCTGCAAAACTTTTTAACTTGTTTATTCTTGGGAGAAAAAAAATGTTTTAAAAACTCGCCTCCACTAAATTTCTAAATTCATTTGTGTAGACTTCCTTTTCCCGATGCCACACTCGGCAGGAATTGTGTAGGAACCTGATTTATGACAGGCAATGTTTCTTTAATATTATTTTTATATACTTTCAGATAGCTAATGGGTTGGTGCAAACCACTGGCTGGCCGAGTGTCGTTACATGTATTGGCAACTGGTTTGGAAAAGGAAGGTAAATGATACATAATCCACAGTTTTGGAAGTACAGATCAATGTATTCTGGGCTATTACGTTCAATTCAATATTATAATCCATTTAAATATCTTTCTTTGTCTTCTGTGGGGTTTTTTGGGGGGGATGGAACAAGCAGCTAGGTAGAATTTTGAGAGGAGTTTTCTTTGTTATGCTGATTGATTTATATRTGGCTTTAAAATAGTCTCCCTCGTGTCAAAGCAGTGTTCCGTGGTAGCTGTTTTTCAGATTAATTATTTCAGAATTAATTATATCAGAATAATTCTTGCAAATATAAACAGTCTAAAACTACTCTGAGTAAAGGCTGTTATTATGCCATTTTAATGTGGAATTTCCTGTGTTTTCATTTCTGTTTCGAAGCAGTTGTCAGGGCATAACTGTAAAAAATACTTTATGTAATGCCTTTTTTCTAACACACTTACATAAACTTGAAAATTTAATTTAAACGCCAAAATGCATATGGCAACTGATTTAACCTTTCCTTTATCACCTTCTCTAAATCATCTGCTTGGGGTTTTTTTATCTTAATCCTGCACAGAGATCACTCATGATGTTTATTTTGTCACACCCTACAGTTTTCTATGAATTTTGCAAGAACTGCATGCTAAATCCACTGGTTTTGATAATAGTTGATGCATGTAGCATACAATAATGTTACTGTAGTACCATCCTTTGTGTAGGTAGAGTGTTAATCAGTTCCAGAGAAGGACATACTGAAATTCAGT